GTTGCGGTGGCGGGGTTGCGGTGCGGGGGCGATGCGGGGGCGGGGTTGCGGGGCCGGTGGCGGGCCTGCGGGGTTAGGCGGCGGGGTACCCGGGGCTGGGCGGCGGCGGGGGTCGTCCGGCGGTGGCGGGGTTGGATGAACCCCGCGGCGGGGGTCCGGGGTCCGCAGCCTAACACCGGCTTTGCCCCCGGGGTTCCCCGCTCGACAACGCTGCTCCAATCCTTACTGTACTCATTCTCGAGAGCTTGCTTTACAAACGCCTTGTCGCATGCCTTCCCCATGCAGGCCCTCAAGAAGTTTTGCCATGTCTTCTGATGTGCAACGGCCACCTCATCCTTCTCGCTGACCTTGGCTTTGGGGGCCTCGATTCTATTGTTGTCTATCCACCATTGCCTGATGTCACGGACAGCGTCCTCGAATGACAACATCATGAAGCGATTTTCGCGGGTGTTGTCGAAGCAGGAGACATTGAAATACCCTCGTGTTTGATCATCTCCGAAATAGACGACCCGCACCTTAGAGTACGCGTTGAGGCCATAAACTTTAACTGTCGGGGAGTCCTTTCTGATCAATCTCTTCATGAACTCAACCGTATGCTGACCACAGACAGCGTACCAGTCGAACTCTGTCGGGTCCCTTTCCAAGAATTCGGTCGGCCGTGATCCGTCTTCCCTGGCCGCCGACAATGTCATTGCGGTGAACTGGCGCAAGCACGAGCTCGGGCCTATCCCACGCCCCCGAGTCCGTGTTGATGGAGCTTTCGATGGCATTCTCGACGCCTCGCACAATGTTTTCAGACAACGAGCGGTGGTTGAAAAGAATCCTTCCGCAGGGAATGCGTTTGATTCTCATGACGTCCACGCGAAGAGCATAGACGTCTTGCGTAGCAAAGCCTTGGTTGTCGTACTTGAGGAAGAAACAACACGTAGTGTCGATGGGCGCGACGCGCTGAACCGGCTCATCAGCATCTTTGGGCATGCGAGGATCCACTCCCTCGCCCTCATCCCCCGAGTCTCGCAGCTCTTGTGGTCTCACCCTCTGGGAGTCTTTCCGCACCCCGCCACGGCCACCACCCCCACGGCCACCGCCTTGACCCCCAGATCGCCCCCCTTGGCTGTTTTTCCGAGGAGGCCGCGCCTCCTGGGACGCTGTCAAAGCTCCACGAGCCTCATTACCAGTGTCAGTCCTGGCTTGCCTCTTGTGAGTAGAAGCAGACGGACAAGTCTCCCTTGTCCTTTTCTTCACCTTCGGTCCTTGCATTGCATGTGAGTCGTGCCCACCCTTACTCCTGCTTTGCGATAGCGAAATCCCACGGGACGTCGAGGGCTGACCATGTGCGGCTCCCACAGCGTCGGCGGGGGAGATGTCATGACCATGCATTGGCGTGTCGGCGTCCTCATCAGCAAGCGCGCCCTGGTCCTGCATGTTGTCATCTCCAACTTCCACATCTGCTTCATTACCGCCGTCGTCATGCGGGCCGGCACTTCCTCCTTCCTTGTCCTCGTCGTTGTCCTCGTCCAGGGCAACTGCACTGCCCTAGGAATTTTCACGGCCAACATTGCGCTGGTGCAGAAGCTTGTCATCAAATTTTGTTGCCTCGCTTGAACCTTGAGCCAAATCACGACCTCCCCTCACGGAGGGCGAGGGAAGATTCTCTCTCTCTCTCTCTCTCTCTCTCTCTCTCTCTCTCTCTCTCTCTCTCTCTCTCTCTCTCTC